TCAAACCCAGTCAGTCTATAAATATCTACTTACTGCCTGCTTCCAGAATGGGGTCAGAAAAAGGAACAAAGGTGTTTTAAATGTGCAGCACAGGTTCACTGGAATAATGAGGATTAAATTAAAAAAGTGAATTGGCCACAATGGGAAAGTATAGATCCATTTTAAAGGAGCAGAAGAGCTCACTCTGTCAGTGTGTGTTTTTTTCCTTTTTTGTAACAACAAAATTTGAGCTTATTCTACTTATGCTGAATATTAGCTACAGTTTTTTTAATATATTTCTTTTGGTTATTGTTGGATTTATTTTTTTTATACATTTAACTTTTGATGAAAGCAATTAAACTGGTTCCATAAATGATTGCTATATGAAATAAAGCAAAGACTCTGAACATGTTAAGACTAAAAAAAATGATAAGAACAACGTATTTTCACGAGATTTGAGATTATTTAACCTGGAAATAAATTCTCAGTAATTCACTAATCAATAATAACAGTAGATCTGCTTTAATAGACTCCTAAAAACACCATGATTTTTTAAACTATCAAATTAAAAACACAAAAGTAACAAAAATATCTGGAAAATAACAGAGAAATGTTAACATATATATTATTATGGAGACTTAATATAATTTAAAAACATTGTACTGTAAAAAAAATAATAATAAAAAAAAAAATAAAAAAAGAGGGGAAATAGTACAAAAATAGCTATTTTTTTAAATCTGCCTTTTTACAAATGGAAATTGTATTATTTTGGTGTAGAAAATTTCACAAATTAGAGGATGGGTTCTAATTGAAGTGGTGAGATTAGTAAGAGTGAGAGTGAAAAAGTAGCATATTCAGTTAGAAGGTCCCTTAAGTATTAAATAACTATAACAACTAATTGATAATTTCACAGAGCCATGATCAGTTAGAAGACAACAAAGTACAAATTCTGTTAATTTATTCATTTTTTTTTAAATTACAAAAAAAGAGATATAATTACATAGTATAATATTTAGCCAGAAGAAACCCTCACATTCTTTTCCAACAAAACTAATTTGAAACAGTGCAAAGTGATTCCAATTACAACATGTATTGTTTACTGTGTGTTTACTTGATCTCCAAATGGCTCAATGAGCTCAGCAGCTAGAAATATTCTATTTTTCCACTCTTGCTATTCTCGCCACCGCAGCCTATGCGACATTATCTTGGTTTATACCTGTATTTATGCTATAAACACCACTTTGCAGCAATGTGGTGTGCAGGATCTGCAAGGTGCACCTCCATCTTTAAGCAGAGCCTAATAGACTACAACCAGTCATCTAATGTTGTCTATTGTGTGTGAAATGTTACTCTTACTGTAAATCAAGTTTTAAAAAAAGTTAATAAGTTAAGTCAAACACAAAAAATGAAAATGCCAATTCAAAAAGTAAATAAGCCAAGTTAAAAGCTAAAAAATGTGAAGTTTCTGTATCATTTATTGTTTTGAAGATTATGATGCAAAAAAAACATGTTTCTCTCTTTCTGTGATTTCTTATGGAAAGACTTAAAATTCTTAAACCATATTAGTACCATTTACTTTATTAGTAATTACACTGATCTTTTTTTAATTATATATATTATTTAATTTTTTTTCTGTTACAATCACTCCTGACATAAAATGCTGAATTTCAAAGCACTTCACTGAGTGCCATATAAAGGCTTATACTTTGAGATTTCCAATTTAAGAAAGAAATTAATTACCAAAACGTGTTTCCATAAATACTCAGGCTTAGAGCAACTAAAGTAAACCTAACTGACCTGAAACAGGAAAAGTTTTGCATAATTGAATGTTTGTCATTAAGGGAAAGAAACATTAACACTGAATGTTGATGCAGGGTTATCAAATATGGAGATAGAGCTGTATTATTATTGAATGAAAGTGAGAACACAGTTGGCTTACAGGACATCTTGGTCATATTCAAGGAAACCGCTGAAGCCCAGCGAGCTGAATAACAGGGTGATGAAGAGGATCAGTCTGTTGGAGAGAAAAGGAGAGTTAAATGAAGCTGCAGGTGATTCACAGCAGAGATTTAATCCTAAAAAACACCCGGAAGTTTTCAGCAAACAAAAGAAGAGCTGAGAGGAGCTTGCTTTGCTCATTAACAGATATTCTTTTGTTGTCCTTCACAGCCTGAACTGAAAGCTTGTCCTGTTCTATCAACCACGGCTCCTTTACAGAAACTATGTTTAGAAAAGCTCCAGTTTTCTACTTCTGAGCCACATTCACACATTAAAGGCTTTAAATCTGGGTCACATTACAAATATAAAAACAAACCACCGCGCTTCATAAACACGTCGGCGTCACTGAATCCTTCCTGCTGTAGTTATTTTATAGGAAATATAAACAAGTCAGAAGTTTCTCAGATCGCTTACATGTTGTTCATGGTGTCCTTGGCTGCTTACAGTCAGATTGTCGGTGTCCTCGTTTGATGGGCTGTTATACGGACACGGAGTCACGTGACGCGGCTTCACGTGACTGCTAACGCTTTTTTTCTCCCCTGTTCCTTTTTGAACGCCGATCATCTGATCTTTTTATGTTTTCAATTTAGTTTGGTTATCATGATGAAAAAGGAGCAAAATGTACGGCCACTGAAAAAATAAAAAAAGTTAACTGATTTTTTCATTTTATTTCAGTATATTAAAGTCAGAATTCGGACTTTCATCTCAGAATTTTGACTTTAATCTCAGAATTCTGACCTTTTTCTCACAATTATGACTTTAATCTCAGAATTCTGACTTTAATCTCAGAATTCTGACTTTTTTTCTCACAATTCTGACTTTAATCTCAGAATTCTGACTTTTTTTCTCAGAATTTTGATTTTTTTCTCACAATTCTGACTTTAATCTCAGAATTCCGACTTTAATCTCAGAATTCTGACTTTTTTTCTCAGAATTCTGACTTTAATCTCAGAATTCTGACTTTTTTTCTCAGAATTCTGACTTTTTTTCTCAGAATTCCGACTTTAATCTCAGAATTCTGACTTTTTTCTCACAATTCTGACTTTAATCTCAGAATTCTGATTTTTTCTCACAATTCTGACTTTAATCTCAGAATTCTGACTTTTTTTTCTCAGAATGCTGACTTTAATCTCAGAATTCTGACTTTTTTCTCACAATTCTGACTTTAATCTCAGAATTCTGACTTTTTCTCAGAATTTTGACTTTTTTCTCACAATTCTGACTTTAATCTCAGAATTCTGACTTTGTTTTCTCAGAATTCCGACTTTAATCTCAGAATTCTGACTTTTTTTCTCAGAATTCTGACTTTAATCTCAGAATTCTGACTTTTTTCTCACAATTCTGACTTTAATCTCAGAATTCTGACTTTTTTTCTCAGAATTTTGACTTTTTTCTCACAATTCTGACTTTAATCTCAGAATTCTGACTTTGTTTTCTCAGAATTCCGACTTTAATCTCAGAATTCTGACTTTTTTCTCACAATTCTGACTTTAATCTCAGAATTCTGACTTTTTTTCTCAGAATTTTGATTTTTTTCTCACAATTCTGACTTTAATCTCAGAATTCCGACTTTAATCTCAGAATTCTGACTTTTTTTCTCAGAATTCTGACTTTAATCTCAGAATTCTGACTTTTTTTCTCAGAATTCTGACTTTTTTTCTCAGAATTCCGACTTTAATCTCAGAATTCTGACTTTTTTCTCACAATTCTGACTTTAATCTCAGAATTCTGATTTTTTCTCACAATTCTGACTTTAATCTCAGAATTCTGACTTTTTTTTTCTCAGAATGCTGACTTTAATCTCAGAATTCTGACTTTTTTCTCACAATTCTGACTTTAATCTCAGAATTCTGACTTTTTTTCTCAGAATTTTGACTTTTTTCTCACAATTCTGACTTTAATCTCAGAATTCTGACTTTGTTTTCTCAGAATTCCGACTTTAATCTCAGAATTCTGACTTTTTTTCTCAGAATTCTGACTTTAATCTCAGAATTCTGACTTTTTTCTCACAATTGTGACTTTAATCTCAGAATTCTGACTTTGTTTTCTCAGAATTCCGACTTTAATCTCAGAATTCTGACTTTTTTCTCACAATTCTGACTTTAATCTCAGAATTCTGATTTTTTCTCACAATTCTGACTTTAATCTCAGAATTCTGACTTTTTTTTCTCAGAATGCTGACTTTAATCTCAGAATTCTGACTTTTTTCTCACAATTCTGACTTTAATCTCAGAATTCTGACTTTGTTTTCTCAGAATTCCGACTTTAATCTCAGAATTCTGACTTTTTTTCTCAGAATTCTGACTTTAATCTCAGAATTCTGACTTTAATCTCAGAATTCTGACTTTTTTTCTCACAATTCTGACTTTTTTCTCACAATTCTGACTTTAATCTCAGAATTCTGACTGTTTTCTCAGAATTCCGACTGTAATCTCTGAATTCTGACTTTTTTTTCTCAGAATTCTGACTTTATTATCAGAATTTTGACTTTAATCTCAGAAATCTGACTTTTTTCTCAAAATTCTGACCTGTTTTCCTCAGAATTCTGACTTCTTTCTCAGAATTCTGATTTTAATCTAAGAATATTGACAGCTAACAAACATGTTAACATCAAGCCGTAGCTATGTCTGTTTTAGAGACTAGCGCTCTTGTTTTAATCACCTTCTGCTCCTCCATTTATCAAATAGCATCACCAGGGACCCATCGGGCACGTAAAAATGCATCTTCAACCTGAATGATGCAACGTCAGAAATGTATCAAAGAAACAAACTAGCATCTCCTGAACATGCCTTTAATGAGCTGTGGACTTTTCAAAAAATCTTATGTTTATTTGGCAGATTAGACCATAATACACAAACTCCCAAAAAAAAAAAAACGTATTGCAACACATTGGAAAAATGTTTCCAAAAATTCTTTTTTTTTTTTTTTTTAGAACTATAAGCAGAAAGATTACTAAACATCCAGTAATTCTGATTAGTAGAACAGAAGGTAAAAAAAAACAAACCTTCACTCAGTTTTTCTTGAAAAAAACTTTCATTTGAAACATATAACCGGACTGAAAGAAAACGAATTGGACGTTTATTCCAGAAGTTCAAATCAGTTGTCTGAGAAGTAGAAGTCCCCCTCTTCCTCGTCGCTTTCGGATGTCTCACCCTTGTCCCCGGGTAACGTCTCCCAGACGATAAAGTTTTCTGGTGAAGACAGAAAATAATTGGTCCATGATGCTGCAGGATATTGGGATGTTTATATCCTGAAAGGTCACCTAGCATGATGTTTGTGGGTTTACAATAAATCATTTTCAAAGATCTTTTACATTTAATGTGACATTGTTTGTGTTCAAGACAACCAAAAACAAAACAATTACGGTAGTGGAAAATCTAAAAATAATGACATGTTGCATAGGTTTGCATGCCCTTAAACTAATACTTGTGATTTCATTTCAGCATTCAGACTCCTTTAGTGCGACTTTATCATCCAGCATGTTTTTCTGATGCCCTAATTACTCAGTGGATTGGGACGATGGAATGGACTCATGAGCAAACTGCAGGATTTGCAGCTGCTCATCGTTTCATCCGACACAGTAGCTCCATTTGAAGGAAGGAGTCCCATAACATGATGCTGCCACCACCATGCATCACAGTCGGCTTGGTGGTGATGTCTGATGTGGAATTCTAGATTAGCACCAACCCAACCAAGTGCTGGAGTCCTCAGACCACGACATTCGCCAAACAGCATCTAGGTTTTCAGTCACTTCTGGATGCCTCAGACTAGGGCTCTGTTCGAAAACCTAGGACGCATCCTTAAAAGACCGGATTCGAAGGCCGATTACGTCATAGCGCGGCGCTGAGGCCTGGTCAGATTCCAAGAGTCCTCGTTATGCGGCCTTAAAATGCGTCCTTCTTTTTGCCTGATTTGAAGGACAGGTCCGATGTATCCTCGGTATTCTTGGATATCCCAGGATTCATTGCGAGACCAAGCAAGCTGTGATCAGAGTAAAGGTTACTTGGCGCCAACCAGTGGTGAAAATTGGAAGTTCGGTTTAATATAATACAAGTCATTTAATAGTTCCGTCTGAGATTAATGAAAAATAGTTGTTTTAATGGTTATTGAGTCAGGTATGTGGCGGTAATGGTTGGTTTATCTAAAGGTTTTAATCTGTTACTGTGTAAATGGGTTTGGCTGTAATTTAAGGACAGATTCTAATATATCTGCAGAGTGGGGACTATAAATCTGATAGGAGTTTTATCTTTTTATTGCTGTTTTGCACAATATGCTTAACTACGTATTTTTTGTTGTTGAATATTAGAGATTTTGCAGATATATTTTTTATAAATACATTGTTTAGATTTACTTATATCTTTCCACCCCTTTTATAGAATAGAAAATCCCTTTATTGTCCCACAATGGGCAAATTTACAGCAGCAGAAAGATTACTGAAAATGGTCACACAAATGTGGACCTTAGAAAAATGTATAAGAATAACATGATAGGGAAGAGTTAAAATATAAACAATACAATTCTGTAAAGTGTTTTAACAATATAAAACTGGGGAATAAATAACCAATATGCAGCTATGGACATTTTTACAGTAATGGATATTTGAAAATAGCAGCAACATCAGAGATGTGCAGAATGACAGCAGCAGGTTATTTAACTGACTAAGGTTTCTATCATTACATTTGATTTGTTCCTGCTCCCGGCTGTTGGAACATTTATTCCATTCTGGATTCTTGTGAGTGTAGTCTTTGTTCATTTTACAATAAAAAAGAAATAAACAGTTTTGAAAACTTCTGTATTTATTCTTTTCCTGCTTTGTGTGTCAACGTTTACGGTTGCTAAGCAACAGAGCATAAGGCGGTAAAACCCGCTGAAGGGTAGACCTGGTCGAATTCAAAGCCTAAACTCTTCCGCTCTCCTTATTTTCAAGGACTTCTAAGGATCCAGTCTAGGTAGACCGCGTCCTGGGAGGACACATCCTAGGTTTTCAAACAGAGCCTAGATTTAGACAAAAACATCAGCCAACATATTTTTGGCTAATAGCCTTTATTTCTTCCATCGTTTCGGCCACTAAATGCAGAAAATGTCCCATTACCACAGTAAAGTTTCCAAACTTGGAATGCTGGAATTGAATTGAATAAATAACCCAGTTTGTGAGTTTTTTTGTTTATTTATTAATTGAAAGCCATGTTAAATTCTGCTACACAGTAGAATAAACATCTGAAACCTCAAACCTCACTTTAAATAGTTTACCATTTATCTTTTCATCGTTCAGCGCAGAAAAAAGGTTTGGAAACCATTGCATTAGTGTATTCAGCAGCCATGCATTAATCCCACATTAAGTGCTGCTCCCCTAATCTGGTATCCATTGTTAATGTCTGGGGTGCTTTGCTAATAAATGTTCTTTTTATTAAAATTAAACGTGTGTAACACTTGTTATCATTAACATCGGCTCTATGAAATTGGTCAAAAAGCATCTGCAGCACATTTCAGGGATCAGTTTGACTGAATGAATAAAAATATACAGGTGCTGGTCATAAAATTAGAATATCATGAAAAAGTAGATTGATTTCAGTAATTCCATTTAAAAAGTGAAACTTGTATATTATATTCATACATTACATACAAACTCATATATTTCAGATGTTTATTTTGTTTAATTTTGATGATTACAAATGACAACAAATGAAAATCTCAAATTCATCATATCAGAAAATTAGAATATTACTGAAGACCAATAAAAACAAAGGATTTATAGCAATGTTGGCCAACTGAAAAGTATGAACATGAAAAGTATTAGCATGTACAGCACTCAGTATTTAGTTGGGCCTCCTTTGGCCTGTATTACTGCAGCAATGCGGCGTGGCATGGAGTCGATCAGTCTGTGGCACTGCTCAGGTGTTATGATAGCCCAGGTTGCTCTAATAGTGGCTTTTAGCTCTTCTGAATTGTTGGGTCTGGTGTATTGCATCTTCTTCTTCACAATACCCCATAGATTTTCTATGGGGTTAAGGTCAGGAGAGTTTGCTGGCCAATTAAGAACAGGGATACCATGGTCCTTCAACCAGGTACTGGTAGCTTTGGCACTGTGTGCAGGTGCCAAGTCCTGTTGGAAAATGAAATCTGCATCTCCAAAAAGTTGGTCAGCTGCAGGAAGCATGAAGTGCTCTAAAACTTCCTGGTATGTGGCTGCGTTGACCCTGGACCTCAGAAAACACAATGGACCAACACCAGCAGATGACATGGCACCCCAAACCATCACTGACTGTGGAAACTTTACACTGGACTTCAAGCAACGTGGATGAAGTGCCTCTCTTCTTTTCCTCCAGACTCTGGGACCTTGATTTCCAAAGGAAATGCAAAATTTACTTTCATCAGAGAACATGACTTTGGACCACTCACCAGCAGTCCAGTCCTGTTTCTCTTTAGCCCAGGCAAGACGCTTCTGACGCTGTCTGTGGTTCAAGAGTGGCTTGACACAAGCAATGCGACAGCAGAACCCCATGTCTTTCATACGTCTGTGTGTGGTGGTTCTTGAAGCACTCACTCCAGCTGCAGTCCACTCTTTGTGAATCTCCCCCACATTTTTGAATGGGTTTTGTTTCACAATCCTCTCCAGGGTGCGGTTATCTCTCTTGCTTGTACACTTTTTTCGACCACATCTTTTCCTTCCCTTCGCCTCTCTATTAATGTGCTTGGACACTGAGCTCTGTGAACAGCCAGCCTCTTTAGCGATGACCTTTTGTGTCTTGCCCTCCTTGTGCAAGGTGTCGATGGTCGTCTTTTGGACAACTGTCAAGTCAGCAGTCTTCCCCATGATTGTGTAGCCTATAGAACTAGACTGAAAGACCATTTAAAGGCTTTTGCAGGTGGTTTGAGTTAATTAGCTGATTAGAGTGTGGCACCAGGGGCCATCAATTTTGAACCTTTTCACAATATTCTAATTTTCTGATATGATGAATTTGATTTGTAATCATAAAAATTAAACAAAATAAACATCTGATATATATGAGTTTGTATGTAATGTATGAATATAATATACAAGTTTCACTTTTTAAATGGAATTACTGAAATCAATCTACTTTTTCATGATATTCTAATTTTATGACCAGCACCTGTATTGGTCAATCTCTGCTTCAGACATCCTAACTCCTTGGCTCAGTAGTACACAACATTTAGGTGTTTGTCATAAAATATAGCACTCAGACCTTCTTGGAAACTCCTTTACGTTCTTTAGAGTTTGGAGACTAAAACTTTTTCAATTGGGGTGAAATAAAAAGTTGCATTCTTGTAAATTTAATCCCTTAATTTCTACAGTAATTTCTGACTTTATTTATTGTTCGTCTATGCTAATCATATTTATATAAGCCAGGAATTTTTTTATTTTATTTCCTACAAACAACAACTTTAACCTTGCACAAGCTGGATTGTCACAAGATCTGAGTTTTCGGCCTCACAATAAATCCAACTTTAAAGAATCCGTCTCATAACAATCAACGAGTCGGACCAATGACATGCCTGCAGTGTTTTTGGGGCGGGACATAGGAATGATGACAGTCAGAAGGGCCCTTAGATGGTTATTCAAACATGCCGAGAATGACATTGTTTCTGTTCCACATGTAATCTTTTATTGGAACTTTGTCTCCAACCTGAACTGGGAAAAAATATGGTGTCTTCCATCTAAATATCTGACTATTAATAAGATCAAAGAGGTCTCTCTTAAGATGATCCATCATTTTTATCTGTTTTTCCTTCAATGATACAAAAAAAAAAACATTGACATGAACTGTTCATTCTGCCAACTCTATGAGGAAGATCTCTATCATTTATTCTGCTCATGTTACTCATGTATTGCCTGGCAAAACATCTGTACGCTTATTTCCAAAACAATACTTGATGACTTTCCCCTAACTTGTATAAATGTGTTGTTTTGATTCTTCTCTTATCCCACTAATAAAATAAAAAACATTTTTATATCCCCCACAATGGGGAAAATTCCCTCTCTGCATTTAACCCATCCCGTTGGGGGGCAGTGGGCTGCCATTGTGTGGCGCCTGGGGAGCAGCGTGGGGTTAAGGGTCTTTACTCAGGAACCCAGAGTGGAGGCTGTGGGGATCAAACTAGGTACTTGCAAACTTCTTAGAGCACAAGCGAACTGCTTTAACCACTAGGCCAACGCTCCCGGCCTTTAAAGAGTTATTCAAACAATAGACAGAAATCTGCTCATAGTGTTCGTTTTTGGCCATTTTATGAATGTAAAAATGTGCATCATTGTGTTGGACAACACTCTGATCCAGGGAACCATGGACAAATATGTTAAGTGATTCCTTAATGCGGCTAAGCAGATCCGCAACACAAAACAGAGGTAGGCTAGCTTTAATTTTCTGTAGCCTATGCAGTTACCTTCTATGTTGTTGTTCTATGAAACCGTTTGTTTCAAACTTAGGACTTGTTAAAAAAAAAATGCACCAGCAGGCGGCACCAGGCTACCAGAGTTATTTCTGCGCACAGCACAGTATGCTGTGATTAAAGTTGCATGGTACTGTCATAAAATTCAGTAAATGCGGAAGCTATCCGTTTCATTTCATTTCTCTCATCGAAAAACCAGACAAATGGCATTTAGATGATATTCTGCATAAAAAATACGTGACATAATGGTAAATTCAGATATAGTAATCAACCGCTTATAGTGTTCAAATTGGCTCAGGAGCAACGTGATCACTATAAGCGGATTCCACCGTATTAGATCTCTCCAGTATTCAAAAAATAGAAAAGCCATTAAGACAATAGATATGTCCGCTCACTTTAATATCTTTTTGAGTTAACTTTGTATTTATTCATTTGCTTTCTGATTTGTTTGTGCTTGCTATACAGCACCCTGAAACAAGAAAATGCTTTAGACCTACAACATGTTTGTCTTGTTAAATTTGCTGTTTTGTAAACCCCTTTATTATCAATAAAGAAAAAAAAAACAAAAAAACAAACGTACAAACATAGCTACGCTGGAGGACTTATCTGTCGAAACCACAATTGACTCGGTTTATTGTCATTACAATGTCATAAGTATAAAGCTCCTTCATGATCAAGGCATCTCCCCTGCCAGGCAAGTATCTATTTTAGCTAAATAGAAACAATTTCTCATTTAAAAAAGGAGCAAAGAGAAGCACTTTGTGTATTTTTAGATGGGATAGATGTCTGTCTCACTCAATGTCTTACTCAAAAAAGATTTGGAAAAAGATAACTTAATCAGCGTACCCGGCTAGTTGTGAAAACGTCACGATTCGCTGCTACAATTGGCTGAAAGCGTATTAGGGAAGGCGGGTACTATCTGGCACATCACCCAATCAGTTTGAAGTATTGTACTAAACGTCCCTCCTTTTCAGGGACAGACTGAACAGCAGCCATCCCAGATTGATAACGCAGAACTTGACTCAGTTCTAAACATATCAATCTGGCTACTTCCAGGTTACAACACAGCAAAAACAAAAACTTTGCCAGTTGTAGGTTTTACTAAAGGTGCTAAAAAGTAAATGAACTGAAAATCCTCCATGGGAAGCTAAACTTACTTCAGAAAGAAGTGAACTGAAAAAGACTCAATGTTGAAATTAAGTCAGAAGAGGTTTTAATAATCTATTACTTTCATGGTGTGCAAAATGATGCAAACAAATTATGATTTTTTTTTCTGTCATGTCACCTGATACATGGCACAGTACAAATGGGGAATGTGTTTCATATAATGATCTAGAGTTGTTAAAAGAGGAGTTAGTCCACTTTGTTGACCACCTACCTGTGTTTCCACATTTCCGTATGGGTCGCTTAACCTGTGGTGTGGCTGCGTACTTCTAAAAGATAAAAAAACAGGAGGTGAAATTGGGCTGGATCTGCTGGAAAAACTCAGAAAGGAAACTTGTGAATTCAGTACCCTCGGAGAAGACGAGGCTTTGCATAAATCAAACCGATTCTTTCTCATCCTCTTCTGCAGCTGGTAGACGTACCGGTCGTCATTCCTTTGAAATTGAAGGAAAGAAAACGTGGGGTGGAGATCTGTGTGCAGCGATCAAGACAAATTCTGTCAGAACACAGAGGCGACGGCCTTACCCGTTGGAAGAGTCCACCATGGTGGGGGTTATGGCCAGACAGCGGGGCGTCTTCACATTAGGGAAACACGATGACATGGGGGTCTGAGGCTCCAGGTCAGACACTGAAATGTCGTGATCTTCACTCGAGCAAAAGGAGGGGATCTAAGCAGCAAAGGAAAAACAAGGCGGAAGTGAAGCTTCACAAACACTAATAGAGGACCAGAAGAGACCATCTTAAGCAAAGAAGCACCTCAATGATTTTCTTCTGCATGTGCGTCGAGCTGAAAGCGTCGTTCACGTCTTCTTTGGGAACGGTCTCCAGAAATTGTCGCACCTGCTGCTTTCTCTTCAGCGTCCCGGCTCGCGCAGTTATCAGAGGAACAGACCCAGATCCACTGTTGCCTAAATCCCCACAGGGATTATAAGATGGAGAAAATTCACACAGAAAGACTTTGATCAAACTGGAGAAGAATGTAAATGTAAATCCCTTTAGTGTGCCACAATGGGGAAATTCACTCTCACAATTTGACCCATCCCCTTGGGGAGCAGTGGACTGCCATTGAGTGGCGCCCGGGGAGCAATGTGGAGTTAAGGGTGTTTTACTCAGAAACCCAGAGTGGAGGCTGTGGGGATCGAATCAGGTATTTGAGAGCACAAGCATACTGCAATAACAACTAAGCCAACACTCCTCTAAGCACTAGAACAACTCGGTTCATGGTTTGATCAGGAGGCCATATTGTTGAAGGTTTGGGGCTGAACAAAAACAGAATTAATAAAGAACCCAAAAGTAAATTTCCAATAAAATAAATTAAATCAAAACAACACTGTGTAACTTTTAGCCACTAGGGGGCGCTTGACCAATAACTTCCAGGTTGAACAACTGGCAAAACTGCCCACAGGGAAAACGAAATAAGTCTCCTACTGTGTTTAGGAATCTTTTAATCAACCAGTTTGGACCAGCAGATTGAGAAGTCATATAACTATCAGTAAATTTAAGATTCCTACCTCTAGATTAAATCCTACATCAGAGAACCCGAAAGGAAAGGTCATCAATCAGGTCAATCAGGAAAAGGTCATATCCGTTTAGTTGCCTAACAGCAACATCTAGCTTAGTTAGCTCACGTGTTTAAAGGGAGATCAGACTGCCATAAAATATTTTTTGGGTCAGTGACTCATTTATTGACGGATCCAAACCTCTCAACTTACATGGGCTAGTTTTTAATGGCAGGAGCCTGCATTGGTAGGCACCAAGGGCTGAATATTGACCTGAAAAACCATTTTATATAGACCCATTTAGGATGAACTCGTACACATTGTTGCTTTAAAATGTTAAATTCTAATTTAACATGACATGTTGTACAAGATCAGTAAAAAAAAGAACTGTAATTAAGATTTCTTTATGCATTTACTGTTTTCTGTTATTTTTAGAATCTTCGCAATAAAAATATGCATGTGTTGAGAGCTGGAGGCAGCGAGAGACCATTTCATTTACCAAATATTAGCAGATAATGAATATAAAGAACTTCAAATAGAATATGCAACCAAGTACTGCATCCAGGCAGTACTTGATACAACTAACGCTAACATAGTGAGCAGATCTTGGCGTCGTCAAAATAGAATGACTTTCCAAATTTAATGCTGGTCATAGAAGGTTTGGTAATCGAATTGAATTGTTGCCTGGTAGTAATGTCCTTTCTAAAGATGAGAGCTACTTTTTTGGGCAATCACTAATTTTTAAAGGCTGCTAGTGCAGCATTAAACTAAAGCTCATGTATAATAAGCATATTGTGGTATTTTAATTTTCAATATCTATAAACACTAGAGTGATTAAACAAATAAGAGCAACGGAATAAAATTAAACTTTAGACACAATTTTCTGGTAAGATTAGTTTTCCAGCTTATTACTGTCAGTACAGAGAAACGAAATGAAGTCATTAACCCATCCCCTTGGGGAGCAGTGGGCTGCCATTGTGCGGCACCCTGTGAGCAGAGTGGGGTTAAAGGTGTTTTTGCTCAGGGACCCAGAGTGGCAGTCTGTGGGAGTGGAGCTCGAACTCAGACCCTCAGGAATCCAAACTCTATCAGGGGTTGACTTTAAGGATTTTTATCATGCTTGCAATGCTTGTGGGTCGTTTTCAGCAAATGTCGGTGATTTTAAAGTAATTTTGAGTGATAAATAATTATTTATCATTATCATTTATTTAAAATTGTACTCTCCCAACAACAAAAACTACTTGCCCCGGGCGATCGGGCAATGGTTAACATGGAGCCCTGTCTATGCCCTAACCACTAGGTCACCACTCCTCCAAATTAGATCAGCCATTTCTTTCGGTGACGCCTGCTCTAAAACATATCATTTGTTAGATTTTTAACCTGCTTACAGCACTAATAGATTTTTTTCATATAATATTAATTTAAAATGAACAATAAAGTTGCCCCCCCCCCCCCAAATATCAATTCATAGCCCTTCCCATGCCACGGCAGCTGTATTAAAGACCAAACTATGTTTACCTGCAGGTTTGGCTGCCTTCTCCTTCCCCTTCTTGGTGCGTTTGGCGGGACTCTGGGTCCCACCTTGGGACGCGCACCACTTGTTGCATTCTTCAGCCGTTCGCGTCCCCACCATCTTCGCTACCTTCCCCCAGTAACCTGCAACGTGTTTGGGATAGCTGCGCACAGCCCTGGAAAACAAACAAGAAAATGCTTTAGACCTACCTGAAGACGAGGACATACTTTGTTCATCTACAGCCTTTCTGTTAATTCAGCAGAGCAATTATTAAAGGAATAGTACACCCAAAACATGATTAGCCTTCATTTTCTACTCACCCCCATGCTGAACAACACTCTGGAGTACTTTTTTGATATCTCAAATGCATCTGGAGATCTGGGAGGCTTCTTGCTGTCTGCTGACATTCAAATAATGGAGGTCTATGGCGCCCGAGGCAGAAAGGTCCATAAAAGTCCACAAAAACGTGTCAATATTCCTCCATACTGCTCGTCCAATGTATTCCAAGTGTCCTGAGTGGGTAGCATCCAGAATTTACTCGAAACGAAGTCATTTAGAATGTTTTTAGAGCATAAACAGTAGTGTATAGGATTTCCTGAAAGCGCGCACATGCGCGTTCACGACGCTACGGAAGCCGGCAGACCAAACCAGCGCTGAATGCGCACTTTCATCTCATTTCAGCGTCTGCTCTGCCAATAATGCAAGTGTAGAAGAAGAAATGTGCTGTTTACCTGTGCAAAGAAAGAAACAACGAAAGAAAAATGTCTGAGGACTTCAGTGTTGAGGAAGAGCATGAGTTCTTTGCCGAGCTGAATGCGCTGGTTTGGTCTGCCGGCTTCCGTAGCGTCGTGAACGCGCATGTGCGCGCTTTCAGGAAATCCTATACACTACTGTTTATGCTCTAAAAACATTCTAAAAGACTTCGTTTCGAGTAAATTCTGGATGCTACCCACTCAGGACACTTGGAATACATTGGACGAGCAGTATGGAGGAATATTGACACGTTTTTTGTGGACTTTTATGGACCTTTCTGTCTCGGGCACAATAGACCTCCATTATTTGAATGTCAGCAGACAGCAAGAAGCCTCCCAGATCTCCAGATGCATTTGAGATATCGAAAAAGTACTCCAGAGTGTTGTTCAGCATGGGGGTGAGTAGAAAATGAAGGCTAATCATGTTTTGGGTGTACTATTCCTTTAAACTATGAAAAACAACCTTAAAAAAAGGAAAATAGATCACTGATAATTATCAACGCTCTCCTTTTTTTTAGACTTTTAGAATTTCTGTAAACTCATTTTCTGTGAATAAATCTTCTATTTCTAGTAGAAATAGCAGATTTACAGAAAATGGTCTCACATCTCTTCACACCCGTCTGTTTGTGTCATTTGAAATATTCTGTCTTACGTACTCCTCCAGCTTCAGGATCTCGTCCTCCGTCCACTCGTCTACGTCTCTGTCGTGTGGAACAATGGCGCTGCTTTTGTTTCGCAGCTGCCTCTGCCATGTCGGCTGTGATGAAAGCTCCTGCGGTGAGGATGATGTGGTGCGCTTGGCCTCTTTCTTCTTCTCTTGTACTTTCTTACTCTTCGCCGCTGCTCTGGTTTTATTTTTCTGCTCCTTCCTTCTCTCTCTCTGGGGCTCTGGGGAACGCTTGGGGGAAACACTGTGATCTGACTCTGGTACACCAACTCCTGCCGCCGGTCTTGTGTGCCTCGCACTCTCTCGCCTCCTTCTGATGAGAAACAACTCGTCATCAGACAACAGGTGGTTAGATGTTTCAACGCTAGGGGAAACAAGTTCAGGGGAACATGTCTCTAATACCTGGTTGGAGGCCTGCTGGCGTTCCGCGTTTGTCTCTTTGACCCCTCACACAGTCCTCTTTTGGCATCTAAAGGCTGCCGCGTGGACATTCTTCTACCAGGAACCTCTCTCAGACAATCAATGACCCTGTTCGATGAATCAGTGGGGTGCTGGTCCTGTTTAGCCGCAGCTCTGTCCAGTCTTCGGTCTGTCTTGACCTTTCTCACTGGGGCTGAGAACTCCTCGCCTTTATCTGATTCTTGCTGGTTTATATCTGGGAGTAAAGAGAAACGTTTTTTAAGAGCGGCTGCATACGTCAGTGCAGAACCTCCACCGACTGATTTACCATCACTGGAGGGGGAGAAGACAGGGCCTGGCTTCTTGGACCTCCTCGAGCAGGCAGTCGCTGGAACATCCTATCAGAACAGAAGTGGATTGGAAAAAGGAAAGAACCAAAAGTGGTGCAAAACATCCGAGAAAACTGGGATTTTTTTTCTTTCCAGTGATAACAGTTGACGATTATCGCAATGATGAAACAATCCTATTACTTAAATGTCCACACCCAGCCAGGATCAATGAGGCAGAAACAAGAACTCCCTCAAATAACACTTCTCTGACTGCACCAAGTAGGCCATCAGAGACGGTATCTTAAGTGGCTGCCAGCATCCATTAATGAGCCACCAAAATTACTCAAAGAGGGCTTCCAGTGGCAGCACAGACACTATGTGCTTCATTTAGGCTCAAAGTTCATCATTGAGCTCTAAAAAAAAAAAAAAAAAAAAAAAGGAGAGTGACTGGACAAAAACAGGATCCTCAAGAGACGCATACGACCAAAGCCTCCAGCAACTATGAAGACACCAAAGGCCAGCTTTAGAGCTTCAATAACAAAATTAAACCCTTCTGGAAGCTGAGTGTGTGGTTAGGAAAGATTAATTAATCCAATTAGGGCTGAAACAATTAATCAGATTAATTGTGATTAATGAATTATTGAAATAATCGTAAACTAATTGAGTAATTGATTCATCCTTAGCTGGAGTAAAGAGACTTTAATTCCCATCGTTCCGAGCTTGAATGACTTCTTGCACAAAATCCACTGTGCCTCATGTATGTTCCCTGGTTTTAGCCATGGAGAAAACTCATGGCTGGATAGACAATATTGGTTACATTTACACTTGCTCATATTTTCCAGACAAAAAGTAAATGGCGCATCTCACAAATGTCCCGGCCGCAGCAACGCTTTTATTGGTTCCGCATCGGGACGGAACCAATACTAGCAAGCCATTATTTTTTTTAAATGAAAAAAAAAAAAGGTCATTTTTAATGTTTTATTTAGATTACAAATGAAATCATAAAATAATCTTATTTATGATGTTTTAAAAATTAAGACCTACGAAAGACTAATTTAAGACATTTTAATACCAATTGAGGCCTTAGTTTTATTTTGAAGAATTCAATGCCTTTTAAGACTTTTTAAAGACCCTTTTCTTTCCAGAACCCTGTATGATTACGGAGGCTGATTGTAAGGACATGACACAGTCCGCCCATGTGTCTCTGTTATCCGAGGACTGAACCGCACCGAGTGCTACAGATGAACTAGTACCATGTTAGAGAGTTTTGGGCTGTGTTTGGCACGGTTTGGTTCAGTTGTGTGTGTCATTTACACTCAACAGTTACTTGGTTACCATGCTCGGACTGATCTCGGCACGGTTTGGAAAGGGTAGCGTAAATGGGGCTATAGTTTAACGATTGCTGATTGGTCGCCGTTGACTCGCGCGCTTACAGGACTGGAGGAGGAGTAGTAGTCCCTGTAGACTGTAACGTTCATCTGAGGATCCAGGAAGACTCTCCCTCCTCTCCAGAACTCCAGAGGGGGTTTGACCACCCGACCGCTTCGAGTCACGCAGGTGGAGGAGCCGGAGGAAGGACACGGCTGGGCTGGAACGAGACAAACAAAAATCATCGAACCTGCCGATCCTAAATCAGAACCAGGAATGAAGCAGAAATCAAATATTTCACTTACATCTATTCATATTTCTCTGTGTCTGCCGCCTCACAGACTGCTCCCTGGAAGGGAGCTCTGATCCCTTCGCTGAGAAAACCGTGTCTTCGTTCTTCCTCTCTGCATGCCTACTGGGATAAAACATTCACTATAAAGATGGAGAAAATACTCGCATGAAAGTGTTGCATGAGTAAAACCTTTTTTTAAGAGGTGCATTAAATCACATGAGCAGTTTGCCTTCAATTCATAGTCAACAGAAAAATCTGATTATATCTTGATAAGATGATTCAAACACATCCAAACTAAGAGCTGCCATCTGCCTTATGGTGCATCAATCAACAGGAAATGGTAATGAATGCCTAAACATGGATGACTGGTTTAATTTAATGTTATATTGTAGCAAAAAGGAAAAATAACTGAAAATAATAGATTCATTTTTTCCAGGAAAAGGCCTCTTGGTGAGTCTCTAAAAATCCTCTTACTCTTTGGATTCCAAGAGAAACTTCTGAAAAAGTTCCTTCCAGTTTGAAGGGAAGCCATTCACAAACTTCTTCAGAAACCAACTCGGAAAATCTGAAAACCAAACATAAAGAAAGCGATTAAACGCCACGCAGCGACAGAATTCACAAGGAGCTTTTAATGCTTCGCCGTTCTGACCAGAGGCGGGGGTCGTGTTCATCTGTCCGACCAGGATGTACACCCTGCCGGTGACGGTCTTCAGCACCGACTTGCCGACCCTTTCGGTGATGATGTTGCTGTTCCACGGTATGTTCTCCTCTCTGGTAGAAACAAAGTAAAAAAATAAAAAAATGATTTCACACTAAAACTCAAGAGTTTAGGGTGTGAAGCATGAATGGTGACACTCACACGTGGATCCCATCAACAAACAGGCCCCGTCCATTCCTTCTCAGGAACCACTTCTTCAGACGAATCACACTCTCCTGATAGGAAACGATCCGGGCAGAGATGAGATGAATTACAGCTGCAGAGCGTATCGAAGCACAACCTAATATTTTGCAATATTGCAACCAAAAAAAACGGCTTTCATTTTATCCTAAGGAATAGACCCTTCCACTCACATTGGATCTACCGTATTTTCACGACCATAAGGCGCACCGTACTAAAAGGCGCAGTCTCAGTTATGTGTGCCATTACTGTATTTAACACACACATAAGGCGCACCGGATTATAGAGCGTCGGTTTTATATACCGGTACATATCCTCTACTACGTTTAAATACCTCTACTGCGTATTTAAAAATAGAGCAGGAGCAAAACTGAGTATGATTGTGCTTTATTCATGTATTTATTACAAAGTATTAATCGAACCCATCAAAGTCATCATCCTCTGTTTCTGAATTAAACAGCTGCGCTAAATCAGACATGCCAATTTCCCCTTCTTCGCTGTCAGAGTCACTTTCCGTGCCGGGCGGCTCCTCGGAAATGATTAGGCTTGTCCCGATCCGATACGTGGATCGGATCGGGACGCCGATATTGGCAAAAAAAATGCGTATCGGCAAAGCATGTAAAATGCCGATCCAGACTGCCGATCCGGTTTTTTTTTTTTTTATCCGGTCCGTATTTTCCAGTTTCTCCAATTGAAACGATCCATTCCACTATTTTGCGCCAGTGTTTCCCTGTTTTGCATTTTTATTAAAACTTAAAGTAATACTTGCACCTTTAACTGTTTACGGCTTTACTGTTCACTGTGCAATTTCAGATTGCTATTCATAATTTTGTCCAGTTTGTGTTTATCTCTTAATAAACAGGTAAGTTTGTTGTTACCAAGCATTGTGTTTTATTCAATCTCACCTAATTTAGCTGGCTAGATGTTATCAAGAGTACTAAAACCCTTTTCAACATGAGTCTTACAACTAAGGCTAAATACTTTAACGTAAACTTAAATACATGCTCGGATAGGCTGGTATCGGCCAGTATCGGTATCGGATCGGAAGTCCAAAAACAATACCGGTATCGGATCGGAAGTGCAAAAACCTGGATCGGGACATCTCTAGAAATGATGCCGGCTTTTGCGAAAGCTCGAACAACAGTGCCAGCAGACACGTTAGCCAAAGCATCTACAATCCATCCGCAAACTGTGGCGTAACTTGCCCGGCGCTGCATTCCACTTTTCGTGAAACTGTGGTCTCCGTCGGTCATCCATCGCTCCCACGCCGCTCGCAGCCTTACTTTGAACGACCGGTTCACACCAATGTCGAGCGGTTGAAGTTCCTTTGTCAGACCTCCCGCAATAACAGCGAGCACAGCGTTCATTTGTTTCACCTTGTTTTTCACATCAGCTGTGAGATGGGCACGGATGGAGTCACAGATTAACAGCGATGGTGATACGTGGAAAAAACCACCTGGTCTCCTTACATACACTTCCCTCAGCCACTCTTCATCATCTCCTCATCCATCCAGCCCTTTTCATTTGCCTTAATAATGACTCCAGCTGGAAAAGTCTCTTTAGGCAAAGTCTTTCTCTTAAAAATCAGCATAGGTGGCAGTTTCTGTCCATTTGCGTGGCAGCCAATCCACGCCCACACTTCCCCCTTTAACATTCTCATGGCGGTCTCAACAACGTCCACATAGGGCGCACCGCACATTTTGAGGGAAAAAAAAGACGTTTATATGCGCCTTATAGTCGCGAAAATACGGTATATTTAGAGTCAGAGTGGAGGTGAGGACCATAATCAGTGTTTTGTAATAACATTTTTGCCAGAAGACGTACTGTTTTTAACATACCTGCAATTTATCCAATAAAAATGTATCAAATAGACATAGAGGCTATAAAAATAACCGTCAAAGACCTTGTAGTGTTGGCCTAGTGGTTAGAGCAGTGCGCTTGTGCTCTGAGAAGGTTGCAAGTACACGGTTCAATCCCCACAGCCTGCACTCTGGGTCCCTGAGCAAGACCCTTAACACACTGCTCTCCGGGCACCGCACAGTGGCAGTCCACTGTTCCCAAGGGGATGGGTTAAATGCAGAGGTGAATTCCTCCAGTGTGAGATCGATAAAGTTTAGTTATTATTATTATTAAACCTGTCTTCTGCTTCTACTTACCGATGGGAATTGCTTCTGCGAGGCCAAGACGTTGCGTCTGAACACATCTTTGTCTTTCTTTGGGATGGAGATCTGCGGGCTGTCGAGTATCAGCGGGTCCTCCAGGATAACACGCGGTGAAGGTGGAGCAGGGGTCAGAGAATCCTCGGAAATTTCAGACTGACTCTCTGGTGACTCCACTCGGTTCTGTTTCACAGGAGCCACTTGTTCTATGGTATTCATTGGGGGTATTGCTTTGAGGCGATCCATGTAAGGGTTTGTGGAAACCTCAGTGGATCTGGACTCCTTCAAGCCTCCTGAGAGAGAGAAAAAAAATATATATTAAGCGTAATTATTGACCTTTGAGCAAACTTTGTGTTCGGACGCAGGAATCAGACATACTCTCATTCCTCCCAAAGAGCTCTCTTCTGCTGCTGCTCTGGATCTGCTGCTGATTCTTTTTACTTTCACTCTCCTTCATCATTGCAAACTGTTTGGCAGGAGACATCATGGAGACCATGTTCGCCATAAAAAGGGGGTCTGTTCAAACAGAGAAAAACAACAACCCTGCTTTTTTTATTGCACCAGAATGATAATCAATGATGGATCTGGTGAGATTATTACCCAGATCCTGTTGGCAGGTGATGGTCTGTGCACTGTCCCAGATGACAGGTTTTCTCCTGGTTTCTGGTGGACCTAAATCCTCACTGAGCTCCTTGCTGGTTCCTCTGGCATTCTGGGAATCAAGTGGATCCAGTCTCCTCTTCCTCAGCCTTTTCCTCATGGGGGAATACATGCTGTCTGGAGATCTGGGATTCAGAGGAACAGCTTCATTGTTAAAAACCCTCCAGTTCTCTTTGGGCTGGGTCCTGCTGAGGCCAGCTGTGATCTGATCTCTGCAGACCCCGGAAGCAGGCCTGGAAAAAGTGGTGGACTCAATGGATCCGGTTCTCCGTGTAGATCCAGGAACGGGGTAATTGAGTGGGACCTCTTGCTGCAGAGGAAGGCGCAGGCTGGCAGAGCTGCAGGGCTCCACTGACTGATCAGGGCTGGAGGTGGGGGACAGAACGAGCGGCTGCGCTTCGGCTTCATAACAAGCTAACCTGTTGTTCTCCCAAAGCTCTTCGCTCCTACAGAACTCGGAAGGGTACGGTTTGTATCTCGGTCTGGTAGCCCTGTACACACCGTCTGTTTTCAGGCTACATCTTCGATCAGCTCCGTGTCTCTGTTGCTCCGAAATGTCCTCCGCCTCTTTCTGAATCTCCCATTTCAGCCTCGCAAATATCTTTGCAGGCGATTGATAACGGGGGTCTTCACGTTTCGATAAATGATACGACGCCATAGCCCTGTGAGACGTATTTGCCCCAATAAACAATTCGACAACTAACAGTTAGCCCGCTAACCCGCAATTTTCAAAAAACTTAGGCCGCACCCCCTTTGCCTTAGACGAGGTGACGCATTTCCGTAACAAGCCTCCTTCTTCTTCTTCTTCTTATTGAGTTTTATTGGCGGTTGGCAAAAAACGTTAGGTGAGCATTACCGCCACCAACTGGTATGGAGTGTGGACTACATGGCAAAAAAAAAAAAAAAAAACTATACCCTATTATACAACCTAATCTGTTTCAAAAATTCAAATATAACCTGATATCCTCTGCTTCCTGATTCCTTCTGCAATAAATCGACAATGTCAAGTTTCATTTTCATGTCACTAAGTTTCCTTATTAACCTGTTTCTCTGTATCGAATATTTACTACAATTTAAAATGACATGTTCCACAGTCTCATCTTCCCCACAGTCACATTTCCCTGTCTGATGTTTCCCTATCAAAAATAACGATCTATTCAATCCAGTGTGTCCTATTCTAAGTCGAGAAATAATAATCTCTTCTCTCCTGTTCCTTTCTGATCTTCTCATTGGTCCAATTCTCTTTTGTATTTTATAAAGCCACCTTCCTGTAACAAGCCTCCTGCTTCTTCTTCTTCTTCTTCTTCTTCTTCTTCTTCTTCTTCTTCTTCTTCTTCTTCTTCTTCTTCTTCTTCTTCTTCTTCTTCTTCTTCTTCTTCTTCTTCTTCTTCTTCTTCTTCTTCTTCTTCTTCTTCTTCTTCTTCTTCTTTTTTTTTTTTTTTTTTTTTTTTTTTTTGTTCTTCTTCTTCTTCTCTTCTATTATGGCGGATCACAAGCAACTTTAAGGTGCATACCGCCACCTACTGTACATGAGTGTGTAGCAGCGTTACTTCACATCTATTAGATTCTATTTTTTAATTTTGTATTCTTAAGATACATAAACAATGCTTTCCTTAGTTTATGAATATCTGTTATGTTTCCTTCATTTCCTAATATTCCTTTAAGATTCCATTCATGCCCTATGCTTCTAACTATTCTCTTTAATTTTTCCCTTTCGTGTTCATATAACTTACAGTTCATCAATATGTGTTCTACATTTTCTTTTTCACCACATTTCTCACATTTATCACTATTTTTCCTCCCTATTAAATAATTCTTTTTGTTCTTGTTCTTCTTTTTCTTTTTGTTCTTTGTCGTTTTTTTATTTTTTTTTTTTTTTGTTTTTTTTTTTTTTTTTTTGTTTTGTTTTTAAGAAGCGACATTTTATTTTGGTATCCAGAAAAACTTTTTTTTATTATTATTAAGTCAGCAAACATTTACATGAAAAAATACTCTCAGAAAGGATAGCAAATGTAAACATGAACAGATAAAGCTCAATTACAATAAAAGAAAAACAAAGAAGTAAAACAACTAACAGGGGATTTATCACAGCAAACATTTAAAACAAACATAGACAGAGCCATAGAAATAATAGAAACAAAAAGGTGAATGCACTTAAAATAGCAGACGTTTGGAGAAATCAAGTCTCAATTGTTTGGCATATTTGTCTTTTTATTAATCTTTTTAAGAGAAGAAAAAATAGATTTTAAAGTAATTCATAAACCAATGAAAGGAAGGGTTTAGAATTTCTCCATTTAGCACAGTGGATATGATATTTAGCCAACAACAGGAGGACATTAATAGTGTAAGATACAGGCTGGGGAAGTTGGTCCATTAAAAATGACATCATTTAGTGCAAAAGGGTCATTAATTTTTAAAGATCTCCAGTCTTTCAAGTCTTTCCAGAAGCGGTGTGTAATGGGACAGAGGTAAAACATATGTTAAACGGTTTCACTATTATTATTACAACAAAAAGAACATTGATCCACCTCAAAACCAAATCTTTTTCTTAAAAATTCTGCCACAGAATAAATTTTGTTAATAACTTTAAAATGTTTTTCTTTGACTTTAGGTAAAATAGGCCATTTAACAAATTCTGAGAAACTTTATCGACTGTATCTGAGTTAACAGAAATATCTCTCTTCCAAGTAAATCTATCATAATCATGAAATTTTCTGGCTTTCAAAAAAACTGTTAATAAATTTATTATTGCATTTTTTATCAAGCAAATTACATTGTGAAATCAACAAACTGGGCAGTATTGGTGGATAATTGTTATATAACCTAGAGTTTTTTTTATCAATTGAATTAAAGGCAGTGAGATCGATTTACACAGTTTGTTATATTCTCTATTAGAACACTTAACATTATATTTTTCTAAAAAAAATCTGAATAATTTATAATATCACTGTTATCATCCAATAAATCAGTAACATAAATAATGTTTTTGTTAAACCATTCCTTTTGAAGATAGATTTGCAATTAAATGTTATTACTCTATTTTTCCATAGAGTTGAGCTATGGGGAGAAAAGCCATGGGTTAAAAATCATTTTCCAATAATGCAAAATCTGCTTGTGAAAGTTGGACAGCTTGATTGGAATCCTGTTTATCTCAAAGTCACATTTTAGAATAAAGTCTAAACCTCCTAATTTATCAAATAATGATCTTGGAATGTGATACCACATAGAATTCGGGTGCAGCATATGAGATTTGATCCAGTTAATTCGGAAGGTGCCAACCATTGATTCAATATCTGGAGCTTTAATACCACCTTTATTATATTCTTTCACCAACTGAGATTTTTTTTTTCTTCGTCGTGTGTCAGATGATGGAGAACTCAATTTTAACAAGCTCCTCATTTAATGATTTTAACTGAAACTTGTTTTTACCTTACTAGTGATTTTTAACTGACACTTGTTTTACATCAATTGTTTACATGTTTGATTTGTGTGTTGTTCAAAGTTTAATAAGTCTTCTTCTTCTTCTTGGATTTATTGGCGGTTTGCAACAAACATTTAGTAGCATTACCGCCACAGTGTGGTTCCTGATTATGGAGGACCATCTCTGCCATATTTAGAAATAAATACAGAAATAAATGAATGCTCAATAAATAAGTCAATTAATTGCCCCCAATATACAATAGACAAATAAATGTAGGTAGAAATTAAATTATACAGTGAGACATAAATGTATATACCTCCATTTAATTAGCTTCTTTATTTATTTGCATTTGTAATGATTACCTTATTTATTTATTGTCCGTTATAATCTTCAACTTTATTTAGTTATTATTTATTTTTTAAGTATTTATTTATGTGCATAATATAATATTTTTGTTTTTCTCTATTATTTCTCTTTCTCTATTATTTCTCTTTATTTCTTCAACACTCTGTTGACACACCCCTTCCTCATTTACATAATTAGGCAGAAATGAATACAGAAATGTAAATGTGACAGGCAGAAATAAATAGTGTTGAAGAAATAGAAGAAGATGAGATGTCGGATTGGGTAATTACAGATACCTGACAGAAATGATTCCCCATTTGCAAGGCTGCCAACTTTTCACCAAACCTTGGGGTGAGATTTTGACAGAATTTGGACATCAACCGTTGTCAGGGTTAGATGAGGATAGGTCCAGCTATAGGTTGGAGGTTTTCAGAGGATTTAACTGAAACAAAGTGGCAAAATGTGAAATTTGTATAGCACAGTAATTGTTACTAAGTAACAATAAGTGGTCTGTAGTTTTGTGGAACATTTTTCTCATAATATCCATTATTACAAAAGGTACAAAAATCAGTATTAAATAGAATCATTAATGAGAGAAACAGAAGGGAAGAAGTAATAATGATCAGATTAAGAGTCATACCTATTTAAATGACAATTTATATTTAATAGGGAGGAAAAATAATCATAAATGTGAAGAATGTGGGGAAAAAAGAAAATGTAGAACACGTACTGATGAACTGTAAAACTTATGAACACGAAAGGGAGAAATTGAGAAGGATGGTTAAAAGGACAGGCCAAGAATGGAGTCTTAAAGGAATATTTGGAAACGAAGGAAATATAAAAGATATTCACAATTCAGGAAAGCATTATTTTTTTATCCACAGAATACAAAATAAAAAATAAAAAAAAATAATTTGATGTAAAGTAATGTTGCTACACACTCATGTACAGTAGGTGGCGGTATGCACCTTAAAATTGCTTGCGATCCGCCATAATATAAAAGAAGAAGAGGAAGAACGTCCGGAGAAAATAAAATAAAAGAATTTAAAATGAATGATTTAGAAATGACTTTAACTATCAATGATACCACCATGGATTCTACCAGAGGTAATAGTAGATATGGCAATAATGGAAAAGAAACAAGATAAATCTTATATCGTAGATAATTATTCAGTACAGTTACATTTAAACAATTATTATCAATATATTCAAATTTATACAGATGCATCAAAAATAAATAGGAAAATAGGAATAGCTTTTGTAGTAACAGAATTCAATATAAGAATAGGAAAACGAATTACAGATGGATTATCAGTATACACAGGAGAAATGTTGGCAATATTATTAACCTTACAATAGGTAGAAGACATAAAACCGTTAAAAACAGTAATTTCTCAGATTCAAGCTCTGAATTATTAAGTATAAAATATAATCAATCAGATAGTAGGATGGACATTTCATTAGAAATAGTTCATACATTATTCAGAATACAAAATATGGGTTTGATAGTTACATTTCTGTGGGTTCCAGGCAGCACATATTGGAGTAGAAGTAAATGAAAGGGAAGATAAAATGGCAAAGAGGGGAATTCAGTGTCCTATTAGTTTTACAGATAAAACAAGTAAATCTGAAGGAAAGTGTATTATTTAAGAGAAACTGATGGAAAAATGGGAAAAAAGGTGGAATGAAGAAAAAACAGGAAGATGGTTTTATAAAATTCAGAAGGCAGTAAGAGAAAGGAGAAATGGTAGCAGAAATAGAAAAGAGGAGAGAGTGATAGCAAGGTTAAGATTGGGACATACAGGACTTAATTATACACTTTTTAAAATTCAAAAACATAATACTGGAAAATTTGATTATTGTGGACAGTATAAAACAATAGAACATGTTATAATAGAATGTAATAAATATGAAAGAGAGAGGAGATTTATGAAGATAGAGTTTGAATGTATTAAGGAAAGGGTAAATTTATTAGATATTTTGAGGAAGAATTTGGGGAGTAAACAAATACAACTAGTTATTAGATAGTTAAAGAAAACTAAAAAATTTCATAGAATTTGATTATAGAGGCTCTTTATGATATCGATGAGTAAAATACTAAGATATATATAGATAGAAATAGATATATATATAGATATATATATTGATATATAGATTGATAGATAAATGCATCAATAACCACACTCCATACCAGTAGGTGGCGGTAATGCTGCTAAAAGTTTGTTGCCAACCGCCAATAAACCAAAAGAAGAAGAACTTCCGGAAGTCCGGTTCCTGTCACTCCTGTCGCTGAGAGTCACTTTTCTGAGGAAGGACATATTTAAAAGAAAAGTATTTTATGGGGGAGGACGCAGAGTATTTAACTTAGTTATTCCCCCTTATACTGGTTGGGTATTTGTTTTTGGATATAGTATTTGGATATAAAGTCTGTTTAGCGATAGAAAGCGCTGAGCTGTGTGATGCAACATGGCAGCAACTGCTGTCAGGAGGAGGTTTCTGTCAGTTTTCAGTTTCCACAGCCGTGGACTGGACACAGTGGGACAGAAGACCCTGTCTTCTCTACCATCTATCCTGACCTCTAAAGAACAAGAGATATACCCTTGCTTTAAAAGCAGAGGGCCGGAGGGAAGCGGGAGCCCGGTGAGCAGACACCCACCCTGGAAGGATGGAGGCGGTCAGTCAGGCAGCTCTACCCGGCTCAGGACTCTCTCCGTGGGGTTGGGGCTCTGCGGAGTGGCGCTTCTGGATCGTCTTAAGGAGGAACAAGTGGATTCAGACGGATCCTCTAGATCAATAAGCAGCTTTCTGAGGCTCCTCCTGCCATCAGCTCACTGTGCCTCCCCCTTTAAACCTGACAGCCCCCGCTTCAGGTACAACTTCATAGCTGATGTGGTGGAGAAGTCCACTCCTGCTGTGGTGTACATCGAGATCGTGGGGAGGTAAGTGGTTCTCAAGGGAAGCATGTGGAACCCCCCCACACACATTATGACAAGAGTTTAAGAGCTTTAAACTCTTGTCATAATGTAGAAGATAAACTCATTGCTCTCCGTTTTAAACTAATTCAATTCAGTTCATTTTATTTTTATAGCACCAATTCACAACACAAGTAATCTGAAGGCACTTTACAGTTCACCAGATCATACTGTGAAATTTATGCCGTTTTCTATCAAAGGAAAACCAGTTCATTGCATCGACTTATTAACTCGAATGCAATCCCTCACACTAAGCATGCTTGTAGCGACAGTGGAGAGGAAAAACTCGCTTTTAACAGGAATAAACCTCCAGCAGAACCAGGCTCAGTGTGAGCGGCCATCTGCTGAGGCCGACTGGGGTTCAAGGAGACAGAAGCAGAGATACAAAAAGCAGCTGTAAAAGGCGGCCCCGTCCAGGAAACACACAGCCAGGCAGATGAGCTCCGAGCCAGCTCCCATGTCAGAGGATGAAGAGAGAACATCCTGCCAGTCACGGTCAGAGAAACAGGACCACACTGGAAAACAGGCCAATACAGACCTGATGAGAAACAGCAGCATAACATTAGAGATTGAACTAACAGATTCTACAGAGTGGGAGAATAGAGAGAGAATGATGAAATAGGGGTCCCTATGTCCTCCAGAAGTCTAAGCCTATAGCAGCATAACTATAAAGATAGCTCTAAGGAATATAATAGAACTTGATTGATCTCACAATGGAGAAATTCACTTGTGACTTCGGCACTTATTAACAAACAGAAAGGAGGAAAAGGTGCATGAAAGTATACACAGTGCATCCATATTTATATAGAGTAGATGGTAAAAAATGGAGAGATTCAAGGTGACTTACATATACAGTATCTTATGTACGGTAAAGTGTTGGCAGGTAAAGTGTGGTTTCTGGTTGGTTGAATAGATAAATAGTATTTGTCATTGCAGTGTTATTACACCAGGTTATAGTGCAGTGGCATTTTAAAATCTGATGGCTGATGGGATGAATGACCTGCGGTAGCGATCTTTTTTACACAGGGCGTGTATGAGTCTGTTACTAAAGAAGCTGCTCAGCTCCTCTACAGTCTGGTGCAGGGGGTGACCATGATGGATGTAAGCTGGACAACACCCTCCCCTCAGCCACATCCTCACCAGCTTGTTCCATTCTGATCCATGCTGTCTGGGCTCCTGCAGACGACAGCGCAGAGGAGGGCTGAGGCCAACGCAGAGTCATAGAACGTTTTTAGAAGGACCTCGGCCTCCTCAGGAGGAGGCGGCGGCTCTGGCCCTTCCTTCTTTATTTATTTGAGCTGTTTAAGGTGAAAAGATGAGAACGAAGTTTAAATTTCTTTTGTCTAAAGTGGAAATTTATTCTTTATTGGTATAAAACACAGTTATAAATTAAAAGAATAACTAAGAAAGGAAAAACTGCCATATGTCAACAATAAGAGTGATCTGAGCTTCTGATGGAGGATGTCTGGTTTTTAAAGCTGGGCTGAAGATCCTGCTGTCTGCCTCTGGGTGTTGGAGGTGGTTCAGGATGAAGCATTATCCGCTCTGTGTTTAATTCAAACATTACTATAAAAGATACATTTTTTGAATAGATTTCAATTTGGAAACATGTGAATCATTTTATCTCACATTTAGGAGATAAAAACTCTGAGCCCAAAAACAGCTGAAAGCTTCTTCTCCTGTTTTCCAGACATGCGTTCTCAGGGCGAGAAGTCCCCGTGTCAAACGGCTCCGGGTTCATCATCAGCAGCGACGGCCTCATCGTCACCAACGCCCACGTTGTGGCCAACAGGAGAGGCGTCCGAGTAAAGCTCACCAACGGCGAGACGTACAACGCCACGGTCCAGGACGTTGACCCTGGGGCGGATATAGCCACAATCAAAATCAATTCAAACGTAAGGAAGGAATGAAAACAGGAGGCAGGTTCATGTAAAGTCAGATTGGACTAACAGCAGCAAAGCTTTGAAGTGAACAAACTGAGGACTGTTGTGCTTTAAAAGGTAAAACCGTCTGTCCTCTTAATCAAAGGGAACCAAAATAAAAGCCGTTTTTCAGCCTGCTGGTCAGCAGTGTGCAGCAACAGACAGGGGAGGGGCCAGCCTTTTTACTTTGTGTTTCAAACAGTCACACTAAACTGCTCCAGCTTTTTCTTCTGGAGTCTCACCAGCTACGTTTACATGTGCAGCACTTCTCTGACTCGATCTAAATCTTGTGGTTGATCGAAATTCAGTCTCAGTTCACATAGACACTAAATAAAGGATCCGATCATGATGTGCGAATATGCACCAAGTGTTCCATCAGATTAAATCATTTAAACATTTTCAGAACTGTTTAGTTTTCTGGAAACACTTTAGTAGCAGATAAAGAAGTTGCCTGTTTTGTAAACTAACCCGTACTTGTCTGCTCATCCTCCACTTTACAAACATTTCTTTTTCTTTAGTTCTTCAATCATGTCTGTTTATGTATTTTTTCCACTATGGACCTTTTTTTGCATCATACTTTTGTTTTTGGTGGCCATTTTAGTTCAGCGGTACCTCCTGCTAACGCTCCTTTGCTAAAGGGTTAGAGGGCAGGTTAGGATGTTCATCCACACATTTAGAGCCACCTCCTCCTCCAAGGAGGAGCAGGACGCAGTGGATGAAGGTTAGAAGACAAAAACGTCACACTAATGTTGCACATAGTGCATAGGAAATTATTTTACTCCAAAGATCCAAATGGGTGTATAGAAGGACACCATTCGGAATGTCGACTGGAAAAAAAAACACTTCTCTTAATAGGAATGAAAAGCAGAACAAATCAAATTAGGAGCTTCAGTCTGACATGTTTACATGAAACATTTTAGATCTGATCAGGCCTTCAATCCGATTCTAGGTGTCTCTAAATGTAGCTACTGAAAACACCTTCATCTGTGCTTCTAAAACCTCAGCCTGGCTTTAGATTAAAAAATTAGACCTGCCAAAAGTAAAGCGGTCATCTATCACGGCTCTGTTCTGTTTGTAAAGTTTGAAGAAGGGCTGTGACTCCAGGATTCAGCAGATATTATGGAGGTGATGATTCAGGAAAATCTGTTTCTATTTCTGTTCGATGATCTATAAGACTGGAGAGACTAAAGCCCACTCTGTAAAATAGATCAGGGGAAAAAAAACTTTTTAAAGCATTTTAAATGCAGCCTGATTCAACACATGAAAACAATAATCTTATGGAATAAAGTTTGTCCCATTATTGTTGGAAAAACACAAACCAATATTTTATAAATGGAATTAAAAAGAATGCTATCCAGAAGTTAAACTTTGAAAATGCTTATAATCACAAAAATAAAGATTAGCTATGCTCTTTTCTATTTACAAAAACTTTTTTTCCTTCAAATTTCTGTTTTTCACATTGAGTTTTATTAATTCTTTTTAAATTGTGTTCAGAAGATCACATTCGCTGTTTTTCCAGGGAGGACTTTCTACTGTAGTGAGGAGCGAAGACGTTTTCATTTCTAATGGTCTTCATGGAAGCTAGCAATAATATTTTTTATTGGTTAGAATGTGATCTGTGAAACACACCCGGAAAAGAATGCAATTTGTAAAATTCAGTTTGAAACAAAGAAATATGAAATATAGTTTAAAATAAAGTTATTAAACAAAGTTTGAAATTTTTTTTATTTGAAATAAACTAAAAAACATGAAAGTTACTCTCAAAGCTTTTTTAAGTGTACGTTTTATTTCTGGATTGCATTTTTTCCACATTTCCACTCATTAAACATGTTCTCTGCTTGCAGCAATAATGGAACAACATTCTCTCCATACGCACATGCAGACAAATGAGTTCATGATAAAATCGTTAAAAAAGAAATCCATCATTCTCGGGGGAATAATTGAACTGGGATAAAACAGTTAATCAGGTTAGAGGAAAAACATTGGAGATGTGCTTATTTCTAAAGGAAAATAAATCCGTGTTCTGCTCATCTCATGCAGAAACCTTTACCCACGCTCCGGCTGGGTCAGTCGTCAGACGTTCGCCAGGGGGAGTTCGTGGTCGCCATGGGAAGTCCGTTTGCGCTTCGGAACACCATCACCTCTGGGATCGTCAGCTCAGCGCAGAGAGGAAGCAAAGAGCTGGGCCTGTCCAACTCCAACATTGACTACATTCAGACAGACGCAGCCATCGACGTGAGAACATTTATTATTCATTCTCTTCATGTTTTCTTTCATTTGTTTGATTGTCCATTGGATTGGAATTGATAGAAACCCAGTCTGAGACAAAACGTTCACTTATGTACATTTGCATGTCCAGGGGTTGACGTTAAGGATTTTTACCACTTGACTTTCACATTTCATTTGCCCAGAAGCAATTTTTACTTGCCCAGTATAACGCTTGATAAATATAGTTCCTAATATTCATTTTTGTATATATATCAATGAAACATGTTTGTTTTTTAAATGTTTTTTATATTCAGTATTTTTTACGTTTCCAGGTTCCTGGTGTGTATATGCATGCGTCAGATAATGAACTCAAGCCTACATTACCGTGTTAACATGCTTTTCAATCCTTCCTGCACATTCTTTTCAAACTAAACTTTGCTTTAAACTGTTGTGTGCTTGGAAAAATATAAATTGTAATGTTAAAAATCTAAAAAAAAACTTGACAGGTTAAAAACTTAAGATAAATTACAAGAAAGAAGTCAATGTTACAAATGAATAACTTTTATTTTAGAGTCACGGTATGTTTATACAAGATAATACTATTAATATAATGTGACTTTTCTAGAGAATCATTATACATAGTTATTTTATTCAGGGTTTCCACAGTCTTACATCATTTCAGAATTCCCTGACTTTTAACTGACTCAGCTCAGGATTAGTTTTCCCTGATAAATAAATGCAGGAACAATACAATAATAATAACATAACAGGTCACCAGTTTAACATGTTTAGCTCTATAACATTTAAATGCACCTCTCCAATGTCTAAGAGAAAAACATTTAATGAAAATTTTTAATGTATGACCTGCATCACTGTACAGAAGACTGCCATGTGATAGCGCTTTCTAGCTTGTTTGTCGTTTTGGTAACTACATAAAAATTACCGCTGGGTGGACAAAAATCACGCCATCTGGCGGAAAATCACCCGGCTTTTGTCAAATCAAGTGAGAATGTGTACAAAACAACAAAAATGGCGCCGGCAACGCTTCTGAGTCGTTTTCATCGAATGTCGGTGATTTTAAAGTGAGTGATAAATAATTTTTTTTTGCGATCATTGCACTTGCCCGGCGGGCAGAGTATGTATCACAGAAACATTGGAAAAACAGATAACAGATAATAATACATAATAATAATAAAAATGTGATAGCAAGAGCAACATCAGGATTAAACTGTCATTAGATTTGCAAGAGATCTTTTATATATATAAATGTATTGATATATTGTGATGCTACTTAGGCTTTTGGACCATTTAAGCCGTGAAACTTTCCTCTAAATGTATTTCACTCGTTAAGATTAAACCAGGGATTTCTAAAAAAAAATTGCACTTTTGAATAAAATATCTCCTCAGGAGGATTAAATTTATTTTACCATAGTTTATTTCTTTATGTCCTTGTAGCATTCAAACCTTTGTTTATTAAAATTCAAAAGAGAAATACATTCTTTACACTAAAAGCACCCAATGTAAAAAAAAAAAAAGATGTCCTGTTGGCTTAATTATTATTAAAAAAAAATTCACAAATTAATTGGTATTTATGTAAAATCTTTTGTGCAAAAAGTCGTTACGAGGGTAAACATGAAATATCATTTTAAAAATGAATTTATTTTGCTTTTTGTGGAAGCAGAAAGTAAATAAACCTGGTTCTAATATTTAAAATTTTTAAAATCAATCTTTTCTTAATGTTGATGGAAAAAATATTGATTTCAGAGTGTTTATATGAAAGGATATTAACTGAAATGAATGAACATAAAATCTCGGGGCAGTTTAACTATTATTAAAGAAGTAAGTTGATTGTTAGAGATAAAATATGACTTTTTTTTTTTAAACATCTTTAGTAAAAATTCTGTAAATCTGATGCAACATCTGGTTAGGAGATTTGGCACAGTGAGAAATAACATTATATTTTAGCTTACATTATAAACAGACAGAAAATGAGAGAGAAAAAATGTTTTTTTATTTTCGGTTATTTAATGTGATTGTGCTGAATTGTTTATGAGAGTAAAATATTAACCTTTATCCGTTTATTCCACTGTTAAACTTATTCCACTGCACCTTTTTATCATTTTTAGCACATCAAAGCGTTATCTGACCTTTATCTCTGCATGCAGACATAAAGGTCTGATCTCTTTTTATTTGAAGAAAAAACTCACAGGTTTCTAAATCCCACAGGTTTGCTGTGACTTACATTTCTGCTGTATGATGGTCGCTTCATGCCACGTCTGACTCATTCTTCTGTTTTTCTTTTAGTTTGGAAATTCTGGAGGTCCTTTAATAAATCTGGTGAGTCACAGTTTGTGTTTAGACGCCGTTCTAGGTGAGCTGCATTCTCAGCGACGCATCAGAATCGAGGATTTCTGGAATCAGATCATCAATTCTGGTTTTGTTTGTTTAAATGCTTTGCTATGACACTAAACGGACACAGTTAAACACGTGCTAATTGATTCCAGGTACATCTTCAAAGAAAACAATTCAGTATTTTCTATCAGAGTGAAACTTGTTTATTATAAAAGATTCCTAACACATAAAGGACTTTTATTTCTTGTACCTTTTGATTTTTATGGCTTATAAATGATGAAAATTCGAAGCGCAGTGCCTCACATTAGAATGAAAACTGGTTACTGCTGGTGTCAAACAGCAGTCAGCTGATTTTCATTTGCAAAACTCAGCCTGGGCCGATGTTAGACCCAAAAGCTTTTCATCATCTGTAAGAGATAAAGGCCGTTTTTATATTACGTCCTTAAACATCGGCTAACTGCAATGAAATAAATCGAATAATATTGTGAATATTTTAGGGCTGAAACAATTAATTGATTACTGAAATAATCATCGACTTAAATAATCGAGTAATTGTTAACTGGAGTATAGAGACTCTAGAATATGCTTTTAACTGTCAGAGCTACCCACTTAGAGCAGTAATGATCTCAAAATTGTAAAAAAAAAAACTATATATATTTTACATTTACAAGATACAAGATTTAAAAAAAAAAACATTTTCTTCTGTCAATCTGCTCTATCCAGGACTCCTCAAGTGGAAAGTTTTAGTTTCCCCTGGTTTAATTTAATAAAAAATCTTTAAGGGACCTTTGACTATCTGATTATTAATGGAATAATCCGAAAAATAATCCACAGATTAATCGATCTGCAAAATAATCGTTAGTTGCAGCCCTACAATATTTTAACTTCTGTTATAGTTAATTTAAGCCTTTGACGGCAAACGGAGGTGCTAATGGATCAAATGTTTAAAGTAATATTCAATGGATCCAGATCTAAAAGTGAAGGATTCTCTTGTATTTTAGATGTTTCAGTTTTGTTACATTACAGCGTACACCTTTAACCCCCTTACGTTTCAGGTCAATATCAACCTAAATGTCTTGCCTTTTTTCCCAGGATGGAGAAGTTATCGGCATTAACACCATGAAGGTCACTGCAGGGATCTCGTTCGCTATCCCATCTGATCGCGTGAAACTTTTCCTTGATCAAGCATCGAGAAGAAAAAGTAAGAATGAGAATCAGGAGCCCCACGCCTCCCTCGGAAACTGTGTCTGTATAAAACAAAAAAGGGAAATAGATCTTTTTTAACGTATCCTTCTTCCTCCCAGCTTCCAGATTAGACGACTCTGGAACGAGGCCTCGGTACATCGGAGTCATGATGCTGACGCTGACACCGAGGTAAAAGCATCGTTATGAACATCCTGCAGTAGTGGACACCTGCATTTGTCTAAAATCATCTGTTTTTCAGCATCATAGCTGAGCTGAAGATGAGGGACCAGTCCTTCCCCAGCGTTAGTCACGGTATTCTGATCCACAGAGTCATCACAGGGTCACCAGCCAGCAGGTAACTACTGTCACCACATACATCTGCATTCAGGCAATTATGGTCATTTTTAGGGGGAACGGTTATCTTTCCCATGAAGAAAGTAAAAAAAAATAATCCTAGATTTAGTCCAAAGATTCCTTCTAAGAGTTAAAAGCTGGATTTAAAAGTTATTTATCAAGTGTCTCCCTTTACTTTTAGCACAGTGTAGGACAAAAATAAGTGTCTCAGAGTGGGTAACGGCGCCCTGAAAGTAATTTTAAATAATTTCCTTTCTGAATGGACCTGATTATTGATGGCTGTGACGGCCCAGCATCGTCTTCAGTTTTTTTCCTAAATATAGCAATAAAATCTGCTGAAAACATCAAACTAAAAGAAAATCACAGATTGGCCAAAATGCTTCTTCTGAGTTTTCTTCTTCCAGACCTGTTGATGTCGTCTGCAAAGTCTGCCTAAAACCATTTTTTGGTATTTCCACAGCAGGGGGAACCATTTCAATCATGAGGCTCATTTATTAAGCATTAACTAGAATCAGGGCGATCTGAGAAGCTTTATCAGTCACACAAAAAAAAAAAAAAAAAAATTGAAAAGTCTGCTTAGAAGAGATCATTTGGGACAACATGCTGTTAATTTACTAGAACTGATTGGCCAGCAGTGATTTATGTTTCCTCCATGCATTTGTAACAAACAGCCACGGCCAGGTCATCTCATGTCCATGATTTATGGTTGAGCTTAAGTGTCACGTGGCTGCCAGTTATTTTTATCCTAATATTTTTAGATGTTATTTGGTGAGAAACTGGAATGGAAATACCGTTCATGTTCCATTTGCTGTTAGAGCATCATAACGGCTTTTAGCTCCAGCATAAAGCTCTGTTGCATGTGGATACTGGTGAGATTACCTTAATTTATACACACTCTCTCCAAGCAATACCATTTTATCAGCTCTGCGCCATCAAGCCAGAAGATCTTAAGCTCCTGAAACATCCATGAACGTCTTTCTCACCTCAGTGCCATCCTCCTCTGGAGGTTTCCTACATATTTGAAGGAGAATGAGTGATTCTTAGACTTGAAAAAAGTTTTTATTCTCAGGTTTCAACTTCTTAGGACTTGTGAATAATATGTTGCGCTGCCTGATAAATACAGCTCCTGATGAATAAAAGCATGTTATGCTGGATTTAAAACTAAATCATTCATCACTTAATATCTGATTAAAATAAAACATGTGTTCAAAGCCATGTGGTCATTAAGAAAGCAGATCTTTAATCTCAATGAGCTTTTCTCTGGTTAATCCAAGGCTAGATTAAGAAAACTAACAGAAATCTTGGTTTACTAAATCTTAAATCTGCAGACGCTTGTTTTGCAGTCAAGATTTGCAATAATAAAGACGCAAAACTTAGAATAGCATATTTAGATTTTTTTTCCTTTTATTTTTCTCAACATTCTGTTAGTTGCGTTTTGAATTGCTGTCCCCAAAAGTTGGAGATTTCCTTTTTGGTTCCTCTGCAACAGTCTTAAAACATTTTCTTTTAAAGAAAAAAGGAACCTGGTCATTACAGCTCTATACAAATGCATTGTTTACTTCCTGATTTACTTCTAGCTTTTTGCTAAAAGTGTGCTTCCTAAAACATATAAAACCTTTCCTTTAGAAAGATTTGTCTAATTTTTTAGCAGACTCAATTAGAGCGGAATACTGTAGTCAGAATTTTTTTAAAAATACAACAGTGATGACCACATAAAAGAGGCTGAACGGTCTTAAAAAGCAACACATGGCTATTTAGATCGGAGCAAAACCATGGACGTCTACCTGGGTTTGGATCTCCAGCGAGAATCATGATCCACAAGAAAACAGCGGAGTAAGCATCCAGAAAGTCACAAAAGATGTCTGGATTAAACTAAATCACTTCAGTCAAAGTTCAGACTAAAGTCAAGCTGTGTTGCTGTAGGATGATTTAAAGGAAGCCCTTAATGCTTGAAAGAACCTCCAATGTGACTGGATGAAAACGGCTGCAAAGAGAGCGCCAGTAGTCCTCTACAGCAATGATATCAGATTTTAATCAGCCGTTTCTTTCCATATACGGCCAAGTGTGTTTGAATTGTTTCAGCTTTTTATTAAATCAACTTGGAGCTCAAAAAATACCGAGCAGAAACCCTAAGAATGAATCTTGTCTGTAAAATAAAACAAAGTTAGGAAAAAGAAACTGAACCGATTTCTCTGAAATCCTGTTACAGAGCTGGAATGCTGCCAGGAGACATTGTGCTGAAGATCAACGGCGTCGAGGTGAAAACCTCTGAGGAGATCTACAAGGCTGTCAGGAGCTGCAAGAGCATCACCATGGTGGTGCAGAGAGGAAACGAGCTGCTTCAGCTCCAAGTGACGCCTGAATACATCGAGTGATGCAGGCCTCGGCGCTTCCCGTTACACACTGAGGACCTCATGGTCGAGGAGAGGAAAGCTGTGAATCCTGATGACTTTTTTTGGTTTAATGTGAATACTTTTATTCATATGGAACAAAACAAGTCTACAGTTGCTTAAATAAAACAAAGTATGGCCATAATTTAGCAACATAAGTTCTTAAAATGAAACATCAGATGTGAAACATATTTCTGGGTTTTCTGACTACTTCTTTGTAAAATAAATAAACTGTGGTGGGTTAGTTTGTAAATAAAAGGCTGAAACAGCGTATTTTATTAAAGCCATTTATTGTTAAACAGCAGAACGAAGCATGAGAGACTCAACACTATGGCAAGAAGAATGGTAATACAACTAACTACCATTAACTGAGTAAATAAGCCTGTCCGGTCACAACGAGAGGGGTCTGGCTGCAGAGCTGCACTGCGAGGATCCAGAGCTGCGCTGTTCGACCCAGAAGTTCATTTAAAGACTTTCAAAGAAAATAGCTTTGTTTCAGAAACAAGTGTTGTTATCTTGTGTACACGCACAATTTTACTCCCCACCAAACTCCTATCTGGAATAATAGATATCATATGTGCTACATAGAAATAAGTGTGTTTGGATGGAGGTTGGCTGTCCTATTAGGATTTTTTGCTTACTGTATAATTTAAACTGCTCCTATGCTGAGTTTAACAGTCATAAACCGTAATCCGGCAGCAAAGACTTGCTGTGCGCTATTCCTGAAGGCTTTGAATAAAACTTGGCGGCCCTGACAGTGCAGGAGACCCCATTTTACCGCTCTGCGATGAAGCGTCCTGACAGTGCAGGTCTGCAACCAGACTCTCTCGGTCACAACTGTTGCTAGGATGAAGGGAAAAAAAACAACACAATCGCATCTATTTGAACTCCTTAAAGTTCATCAGGAGCTATTAAATGAAAACATGAAGCATTTTCATGTTGAAGAAAAAGTAATCCCAATCCTGCATGAGGGAAATAAAGTGAAAAAGATAAAAGCTGATATTTCCCTGGTATATGTACAGTAACGCACACTTACAGTAAAGTAATAAAGTGACATGTACTGGACTGCTACACAATTAAAGGTAATTAGCTCACAGACGGCTAATAAATGGAGAGAACATTCAACCCAGTTCAGGTTTAGAACGACAAGTTCAGACTTTAGGACTAAAGACATCTGTTAAGTACGAGTACTACAACATACAAGTATGGGAGAAGGGGAAAAAAATAAAACGTTTTTCATTAAATCTACTTTAAAAAGGCTTAATATATATTGCTGGTAATATTTTTTTCTTTTTAAGAAAATATAAGTTGTGCGACTGAAGCTTACAATACACTGCTGGCAGTAGGGGCAGGATCTGTGGGGCGGGGCCTCTGGAGGCACCATGGGTGGAGAGAGAAAGACGAAGAAATTTGATTTCTCAAAATGCCTGAATCCCTTACATTAAAACCAAGATGCTGCTCTGGTTGTTTGTCACTGTGGAATGCTGCAAAAAAAAAAAAAAAAAATCACATAAGGTGCACAAACAGCAGCCGGGCTACAGTCAAACTCCAACAGATACATAAATAAGTGGCAGTAGGGAGGGGAGGGGCTAGCAGGGCGAGGAGAAGGGGGTGTAATTGTAGTGTCCAGTCTAGTCCAGAGGGAAGTTCTGACTCAGTTGATGTGGTCCAGAGCGCGCAGCAGCTCCTCCCCCTGCAACAGGTACTGGCGGCCCTGTAGGGGGGCGTTTACCTCGCAGTCGTAGCTGGTGAGGTGTGGCAGCGTGAAGGGGGAGCTGCTCACATCAGATGTGGTTCCAAGCAATCTGCTGGCCAAATCTGAGGAGCAGGAGAGACGAGTTAGCAGCTGGCGGCTTTAAAGCTACGCTGTCATGGAGGTGGGGTGTTTACCTGAAGGCAGGAGGAGAACGGTCCTGGCTGCTACCATCTCTGTCGCCTTCAGCTTTTTAACCTTCTCAGGTTCTTGGGTCACAGATCCCTGGAGACGGAAAACATGTCACAGAAATAAAGCTTTAAGCTCCGTCTTGTTCTTTAACTCGACTGTTCCGAGCTGTTGGCCCCACCTGTTCAATGATCTCCTTCAGTTCGCTCAGTTTTCGTTTACGCTGCACATTCTGAACAGCGAGAGTTCTGAGAGGGATCTCCTGCTCCGGCTTTGGGGCTCTAAAGTCCAAAAAACAGCAAATGTTACCAGGGTTCCCTTCATAGTCGAAAAGTTCCCCAATTTCAAGACTACATTTCCAATTTTTACTCATTTCCAATGTGTAAATACTGCAGTTATTAGGATTCAGAGAACATTTCCACGGAAGTTAATCCTCACAGATGGTATAGAAAACGGCAACGATATCTAGAAATCTCTTTTCTGTATATGATCAAGCTCTAAAAAGGTTTTCATGCAAACATGCTTCAAAAGAGAGAAAGAAAAAGTTACTTTTTTGCAGTGATGGTGGCAGCAGGAGGCGTGCAGACGGACTCGGGTGGAGCTGGGGAAGCCGTGCGGCTCTCTGGTGCGCTGAACGGAGAGCTGGGATAGCTGCGGACGTCCAGCGGGACGAGGACCGGGGAGCTGTCCGGGGGTTTGCATGGTCCACAAGGCAGAGGCTCTCCAGGGGAGAGGCAGGGCAGCTGGAAGTCATCCTCCATGGAGATGTATGGTGCAAACATCTCCAGTTCTGAGTCCTCCATCGCCTGATGGGGAGGAAAATTATGTTCAGGATCAAAGCCTTTTAACATTTCCACCTCAAATCTCACGGCCTTAATCAATTTAGTATTTATGTTTTTTTTTAAGAAACTTAAGATCCACAGAATGTATGTTTTTTAGAGCATACTGGGTTTTTATCTTTAGTAGGAAATAGATATTCACCTCTGTGTTGAAGGGAGTTTTGGAATCTAGGTCGACGGCAAACAGCTTCTCCACCAGGTCGAGTTTAAAGTCCGAGTTCATTTCTGTTTCCATGGGGAAAGAAAAGCCCAGAGGATTGTCGACCTATGGAGAAAAGGCTACAGGTCAGTCCTCGGTTACCATCGCGCTGACGACCTTAAGACGCCAGAATCGTACTTCTGAAGGTTTGTTGGGTGGTGTAGTCAGGAGGGTGGGAACAAAGCTGTCAGGTTTGGCCTCCTCAGATGCGCTGTTGGAGGCGTCCAGCGGTTCAGTGGGCGACAGAGGAGACATGGGCAGCGTCAGCTTGTCATCCGAGGACGGCATCATTATGTCATTGTAGAGAGGGACATCTTTCAGCAGGTGGGTCTCTGATTCTGCACCTGAAAATCATTGTTTAGCGTTTAATTTCCTGGATTATAGGCGGAACCAGGTCGTCGAATATTAACGGCATGAGGAGAAAACAAACCGGAGCGGCTGAAATCCAGGGAGATGATTGTGTCCCCGGCTGCCGGGGCCAGCAGGGTCAGGGCATCAGGGTGTCCTTTCAGCAGGTTGTACAGACAGTCCTTCGGCTGGATCTCCACCTCCGTCAAGAGCTTTATCACATCCAGCTCTGGAGTCTTCTCCTCCTCCTCCTCTTCCTTCACCTTCAAAGCCTCGTTTGCCTCTGCTGCTGATTCTTCTTCACCCTGCTGCTGCTCCTTCACAGGCTCCACGCCCTCAGTCTGCTCCAAAGACAGGATCAATTTGTCCTCCTGGATCCCGCTGTTGGAAAGAAACATTTCTCAAACTTTAAACCGTTTTCCCTTAAAATGAGCAACTGGATCATAATCGGTTGTATCTGAGCAACTTCTGTAAAATGGAGCCGATTTTGAGCGCTTGACAGTACCTGAGCACAAAGTTGACGCACACAACACACTGAGGCTGGGAGTTCTTGTTGTTGTAGATAACAGTAGCCTGTGTTTCCACCCACACAAAGCCGCCTCTTTTAGCCAGCATCCGGTACTGACCTGTGGTGACCTGGCCCTTCGTAAAAACTAAGAATAACAGAAAGAAAAATCCTCTTTAAAAATGTGACAGAAAAAAAAAAAGAAACAGTTTGAATGAGTTTAAGATGTTGAGCTTACGGTGATGGTGAGTCTTTGTCAGGTAGTCTGAGTCCAGAGCATGGTAGTATTCATACACAGAACGGTTCAGCAGGTCTTCTGTATCATAACCGATGAGCTCGGTGATCCTGAGGAGAAAAAGTTCTGGATCAATTTACTGTAATACCACCATCGACCACTAGGTGTCTCAATTTCTCCAAGAATGAAATAGCTCTGAGGCGAGTCAGATTGGAGGGCCCCCTGAGCCAACATACTATACTATCTCCCCGGCATGGGAACTAACCTCTCATCACAGTAGGTGAACTTCATGTCCATGGTGTGGCGGCTAAGGAAGGTCTTGGTGTCCAGAGGGACCTCGATGTTGGAAGGGTGGGGGATGGGGTCACAGATCAGGACCAGATAGGGGACGGGTGGCTCCTTGGGGCCGTCGGCGCTCTGCTCACTGCTGTGAACACGAACGTGACCCGAGCAATGCAGCACCTACGGGAACAACAGTTCAGTCAGAACTTCTACAGAGATAACAGCTTTCAAACAAGAAAACTAATGAAAGATTAAAAGACAAAATGTTCACTATAGAGCTGACGACTGTTCACCATCTATAGAGCTGCTGCGACTGTTTTTCCCTTCATAAGTTAGAAGATATGACAGTTTCTATCAATCTACTGTGTGCTCAAGTTTCAAAACAAACATGGCGGATAAATCATGTGCTTCAAGGTCAAATGAGCCAGGCTGCAAATATTTCTTAGTTTTTCCAATGGATAAAGTTGTCTCAAATCTGAAAGTCCTTTACATGAAGCGATGTAAAGGACGTTTGATGCTCTGACGTTTTGCTGTAAACTACAGCAGCTTTAGCAGCTGAAAAGAAGAAGCTGAAAGCTCTCTAAAGCGAGAGAGGCTCTCTGTGTGCTATAAAGAACAAAAATCAGCGTCATTATGTGGATTTTGTGCAGGTAAAAAAAATGCACTATTATAGGGCTCTCAGTGCCAGGCTTCACTTTTCTTTGCAACTTTATTTATTTAATTACCGATTGATTTTGAATCAATCCTTGTCTGTATTCTCTTTTCACGGTAATTGTGCTTTTAGTGTTAAATTGTCCCTCATGGACAAAAAGTCATTAAAAAAATTTAACTACTATTAAAAATAGTTCAGTAACTTCTTTTCTGGATAATAAGAAAGAATGAGTACATTTAAACTCGTCTAAAATAAAGCTATTGGTGGTTTTCCTAGTGATCATTAGAGCCAAATCAGGGCTCGATGTTAACCATCGCCCGGGGCAAGT